ACTTCCGATTCATTAATTTCAATTCCTCTTTTTAGACCACAAAATTTTTCTAAACGGTTATGTAAAATACGAATATCCTTTGATAATTGACTAGCGCTATCAAAATCTTGAGCTTCTAAGTGAGAACTTGTTGCATTACCCAAGGCCAATTGATACTTTGTAGCTTCTTTTTTTAAATCATCATTAGCTTTTTTCAGATTATTTAGCCTTTTTAATAAATCTTCACGATCATTTTGAGAATTTGTTTTAAGTTTTTGATAATTTATCTCAATAAATTCATAGTCAGATTTAAGATTTTGATGGTCAGTTAGAAGTTGATTATATTTACTCTCAAGTGATTTATTTTTTAATTGAAGATCTTGAAGCTGATTAGACTGATTAGACTGATTAGACTGATTAGAATTTTGCCAAGACCACCATCCAGAACCGATATTTCTTGAATTTATCACACCATTTGCGTTATTAGCGTTATTAGGAGCGAGAATAATAGATTTTAGGATACTACATGTTAAGTAAGAAGGATCTTGATATCTTTGAATATGAGCATTGTAAACATCTTTACTAATGATTACATAGTCATTTTCAAAGTCAAAACAGTTTGCTTTATCGATTTGTTCATTTACATAAATTTGCTTCCCTCGTATAAGCTGTTGTTGGTCACTTATGAATTGTTGTTGATCCGATAAGATTTTATCGAAAGATTGCAAGTTTTTTATGATATCTTGTTCTAGTTGTGTAGTTTGTTGATAAATTAAGGCATCACATAGCTGTTTCGGAAATTGCCGGATGTTTTGTAACAATCCTTCTTGCCTTTGCAAAAGATCTTTCTGCAGCTCTAAAGGATATTGTAATTGTTGTTGCAATTGATATTTCAGTTGTTGTATTTGTTTTATAAGTAGTTGGTGCCAATCTAAATGTTGTTGACCTTGTGATAAAAGCTGTTCTTGTTGTTGTAAATGTTGCTGTTCTTGTTGTCGTAAATTCTGCTGTTCTTGTAAATGCTGCTGTTCTTGTTGTTGTAAATGTCGTTCTTGTAAATTTTGTGGTGCTTGTTGCAAAAGTTGTTCTTGTTGTGAAAGTTGTTGTTCTTGTAATAAGTTTTGTCGTTCTTGTCGTTGTAAAGGTTGTTGTTCCTGTTGCTGCAAAGGTTGTTGTAATAAATCTTGTTGTTCTAATAAGAATTGCTGCTGTGCTTGTGAGAATGATTGTAATTTATCTAAAAACTGTAAAAATTGTCGCTCGGTATAATATTGTCGATATTTTTTAAATTTATTCTCATGGTTTATGAATTGTTGTGTAAATTTTTCTTGATTTTCTAAAATAATTTTATGATCATAAATATTTAAATTGGATTGATTTTCTTCGACTTCCATTTTATTATAAGCGAACTGATTTTAAGAAACAAGAAGACATAAATAATATATATATAATTTTGTAATTGTTAAGAAACCTTAATTCTATACATTGTGAAAATGCATCTGGCTGCAATTAATAAAGAAGATGTATAAATATCTTTCAGTTTACGTATTTAATCAAACATTATACGTAGTATATTATTATTTGTTTTCTAAGTTTAACCATATTAATGTATTGAATAGAATATATATATTATTCGTGCCTTACGTTTATGCTAATTTCGTTGTACCCATGATAAAATACAACGTATTAATATTAGGAGAATAAATGGAACTGTTTCATTATTATGACATTAAATCTAATATAGGCCACATCTATTCTAAATTAATCAATTTCAAAATGAAGGTTTGATGTATTAGTCATTTGTTGTTATCCACTTCGAAATTAGGAGAAAAAAGAACTGTTTTGTTACCGTGACATAATTTACGGTGCTTTTCAAATTACTTGATCAACAAATTTCATAATCTGGAAAAAATGCCAGTTTATGATTGGTTAAATTTATTTGATTGATTTTTTTAGCCAATCACATACTGGCATTTTTTCTAGATTCCAAATTTGCTGATCACAGTAATTTGAAAAGCACGCTAATATACATAGACTACATCTGTTTTAAAGTAGTCAAGTTCATAATGAATTTCTGATATATGGGGTCTTTGCCTTGAAAATCACCTTCCGACATTTCCGGTCGGGTTAATTCGTACAAAAATAAACACAAGTACCAGTTCATATGTTAATCCTTTTAACTTTATTGATTCAATAGTTTATCGAATAACTATTAAATCATTAAAAGTAAAAGATGATTAACATATGAACATGAACTAGTACTCAGGTCTATTTTTGTCGAAACCCGATCGGAAATGTCGGAAGGTGATTTTCAAGGCAAAGGCCCCAATATTAGTTAACGTATCCACTTCGAAATTTAGAAAATCAAATAAAACAGTTTCATTATCGTGACATTAAATTTAATGTAGATAAATTTAATGTAGGCTATATCTATTTTAAATTAATCAATTTTATAAGGAATGTTTGATGTATTATCAATTTGTGCATAATTGGTATCGCTTCGAAAGTTGGAACCGCTTTATCGTGACATTAAATTTAATATAGGCTACATTTACAGTATTTTAAATCAATTTCATAATGAATACTTGGCATAAACTGCTATCAATTTCTAAATTTAGAAAATCAAATGGAACTGTTACCGTGACATTAATTTTAATACGTGTAGGCTCATCTATTCTAAATTAGGGATTGGAACCGTCTTAATATTAATCGTTTAATCGTTTAACCGTTTAATTTGGCCGGCATTAAGATAATTCCGGCCCACGATCTGCCCGGAATTATGGAACAGCCCCAATCCCTATTCTAAATTAATTCATAATGGACGTCTGATGTAAGCTACGTATATTTTAAATTAATTCATAATGGACGTATGATGTAGGCTACATCTATTCTAACTTAATTCATAATGGACATTTGATGTAGGCTACATCTATTCTAAATTAATTCATAATGGACGTTTGAAGTTATGGTACGATTTCCCGAAAGCTATTTCCCCGACATGTCACCTACCCGATATCACGCAGGTGACAATTTGCTAAAAATATATATCTACAACTAACAAAATGCTAACCCTAACCATATGTGATGTCGGGTAAATAGTTTTTCGGGAAAGTGGGCTTCGGGAAAGTGAGAATCAACGGACGTTTGATGTATTAGTCAATTTGTGCACAACTGTATCACTTCGAAATTTGGGAAAATTGTTCGTTATCATGGCATTAAATTTAATATAGGCTACAACTATTCTAAATTAATTCATAATGAATGAATGTTTGATGTATTAGCCAATTCGTGCATAACTGGTATCGACTTCTAACTTTGGAAAATCATATGGAGCTGTTTTATTACCGTAACTACGTATAGCCTAAATCTGTTCTAAGTTAATTTATCTAATAAATTTTTATTAATACTAAATATTATCCTATTAGTTTCATATCAATAAGTCCAATTAAATTTTAAATCAAGTATAACGGTTATTGATGTCAACCATTTTGTAGAGAACTGTTATTATTTTCTACACTTATTATTTTTGAAATCATATTTATCCAAATTTAACGTCTGAGATAGACGCGACTGAGCTGTTGAGTCGACTTAGGCAACCAAACTGTGACTCACAGCTTCAACAATAAAGGCATGCAGCAAATACGTAATAAGCGTGATACAATCTAATAATCACATTTCGATAATATCAGATATGCGCGTACGTACGTACGTACGTACGTTCAGTATCCTCCAAAAGTTTATCACGGTTACACAAAAACAACATAAAATTTGTAAATATGCAAATTTAACAATATTACATAATATTACGCAAATTAATAATTGATTTGACATTATTTATTAAGTTCACGAAAATTGATGATCAAGCATATTCCATTCCTCTAAAAGTGCTGTTTTCAACGCTCCATATGTTCTTGGTTGTGGTCTTCGTTGTTGAACATTATCTTCCATATATTTTCACAATTTGCGTATACAGTATTATACTTTTGCATAAATTAAGTTTTTTTCGTGTAACCGTGATAAACTTTTGGAGGATACTTTACGTATGTATATATTTTACTTTGTAAAATTTAATTAATAAAATGCTTTATTCATATTTATGTTTCATAATAGCTTACAAGCTACGTAGATGGAAACAGGCACACACACACATATATATGGGCTTAGGTGCTGAAACAAGGGACGAAATTGACAAAAAAAAAGATTTTCGGAAAATCAATTTTTATGTTGTAAATCTTATAATAAATCATAAGAAAATGAAACTTTAAAGAAAATACAACTACTTTTATGTCTTAAATTAAAATGATTCTAATCTTATTTTAAAGTGATTTAGATAAAAAAAGATCCTTTGAAAAAATTGTCAATTTCGTCCCTTTTCTCAGCACCTAGCCCATCTATATATATGTATCTAGATTTAAATATATTTGTAGAGTTTTGCTCTAATTTTGACATATACGTTCGTTCCTACACTCCTGATATTTTTTTGTCATATTTCTATTATGGAAAGTCATTATTTTTTAGCTGTTTATACAATAGAATATGAACAACCTGAAGTAGAGGATTTACGCGTGGTGATTGGCGTAGGTATGTATAGAAGAGTTATTAATCTTAACCTTCAACTCATGCCTGATGAACATTAAATTTTTTTCGCTTTTAAATTATTAACCTCAAAATTCATTGAGTCACGAATTATAAAGATCTTTTCTGTTAATGCGCCTATTTATTTAATTATTTACTATTAAATATTTTCCAATATAATCTGTTAAATTTTAAAGATTTCGGTACCACATTTTCTGGTCGGTAAACATCCAAACGTTATATGCAATTTTAAAAAACCTTTAACTAACTACATGCTTTCATTAGGTTTTGCTTACGCTTACCTTCAAGATAATAAAGCGAAAATTAAAGTTATAGTAAATGAAGATTGGGGAAATT